TATATATATATATATATATATATATATATATATAGAGGCCCAGTGCACGACATTCGTGCATTGGAGTGGGAAGGGTCCCTCAGCCCTTGCAGTCCGGGACCCTGGGGCGATGTCTGCTTGCTGGCTTAGGCCTGGACCTAAGCTGGCGGTCAGATATCCCCCGAGGGGTCCTTAGTGCTCCTGTGGAGGCAGGAGAGGCTCCCGCCACCACTGCTGCGCTTGCCAGCTTTGAGCCCAGCTTCTGACTGAGTGGCGCTTCCCCTGTGGGAGTGCACTGACCACCAGGGGGCAGCTCCTGCATTGAGTGTCTGCCCCCTGCTGGTCAGTGCACATCATAGCAACTAGTTATTCCACCATTTGGTCAATTTGCATATTAGGGTTTTATTATATAGGATATATATATGTGTGTGTGTATATATATACATATGTATACACACACACACACACACACACACATACACTAGAGGCCTGATGCACAAAATTTGTGCAAGGGGCTTGGCCCTTGCAGCCCAGGCCAGCCCTCACAACCCTGGCCTCCTCTAGATGGTTGTCCAGAAGGATGTCCGGGGCGGTCGTTCTGCTGTTCAGTCTAATTAGCATATTAGCTCTTTATTATATAGGATATCCTCAAAAATTTACATATGCACTTTGAATAATTATAAAGGCAGTGTTTATTAAAATACATTTCATTTTCAAAATTGAGCTATCAGCTGTTAAGTGTATATACATTTTGGGGGGACACCCTGTATATATATATATCCTTATCCCCAAATCAGACTGTAAGTTCTGGAAGGCAAAGACCATACCTTAGCTTATTTATTTATTTATTTATTTATTATTATTTTTAATATTTTTTATTTATTCAGAGAGGAAGGGAAAGGGAGAGATAGAAACATCAATGATGACAGTCATTGATCAGCTGCCTCCGGCACGCCCCCTACTGGGGATGAGCCCGCAACCCAGGCATGTGCCCTTGACCAGAATCGAACCCGGGACCCTTTAGTCTGCAGGCTGACGCTTTATCCACTGAGCCAAACCAGCTAGGGCAGCTTCTTTATTTTTTAACAGCATCTAGCACATTGGTTTGGATGGAAGAGGTGTTCAACAAATACTTGTTAGTAACAATGTATAAAGTTTTATTTCATTTTCTTTAATTTAGATAAGCCAAGCAAAGTACATAGCATAGTATCTGGTACAGAGAAATAGGTGGTAAATGTTGGCTATTTTTATTAGAACTTGTATTCAAATGCATTAACTACTAACATAACAGTTAAGGGGTACATAATGGATACCCATTGCATAAGACATTTCATTGAATAAACCAATTTTGAAAGGTTGAAATTTGAGGTTATTTGTTGAATAAGTTTATAACAGCTTATTTCCGCTGTCATGGCTCAATGTATTAACTACATAAAGACATGTGTGTATTAGAAGAGAAGCATTTTCCTGGGTAATAGTGAACTACTTTGGTTTGATTCAACATAAGCCATTATCTTTTCATTGGCAAAGAAACCGCCATCTACTGTGATTCCAATGACTCATTTTAACAGCAAGATGAAATTCCTTAACCAAATATCACGTTGCCAATATCAGTTTTTCGTGGGCTTTAAGCAAACCTCCCTCTGGTGGGTCTCTCCCCATCCCAGCCCTGTGGGGCCCGGAACTTACTTGATGGGTTTGTAGCTGGGGCTTTTACAGAGGACCAGCAACCCGGTTCCAGAGCCCACCAGTAACGCCCCCATCTTCAGGCACTTGATCGCTGTCACTCCCTAGGGGGAGAGAAAGCATCATGAAAAAGGCCAACCGTGTTCATCATTAAGGCAATGGATGGTCTGGCACAGTGGGCGTGGCCAGGGTCATGTCAATGCTGCCACACGTGGCTTGGATGAAGCCCTGCAGGGGTTGTCTGTGATGCACTGCGGGGCTGGCCCAAGGGCTCAGTGCCAACCACGAGCTCCTGTGCGGGAAGTAGCCTCCTGGTCCTGCAAGGAACAGACTTGCTCCCTTTAAAACACCTGTGCAGGGAAAATATACTAAAAAATTAACACTTTCTATCCACTCAGATGAAGGTAGAGCGGAGGGGCAAGCAGAGCCCCAGCAGCATTTGTTCTTCAGGTGCCACCATTTTCACTTGACTCTTTTTTTTAAAAAAAAATTTGTTTTATTGCTTAAAGTACAGTGGGGCCTTGACTTACGAGTTTAATTCGTTCCGAGACCGAGCTCGTTAAGGAGCTCGTTAACTCAAATTACTCTATCAACTCAATGCAAAAAATCGGCCGAGAGACAGCTGGTATCTCAAAAAACTCGTTAGTCGGGACACTGGTAAGTCAAGGCCCCACTGTATTACAAAGAGTATTACATACATGTGTGATGCAGAGAGACCATGCTGGACATCCAGAGAAGACTCCTCATTGTCTGGTGACTCTATTGTATGAACTAAAGCACACAGTACATCATCTGACAAATAATAGAGGGCATTTACATTCAAAGCCATCTTCAGAGTTTGGGGATGCATGATGGCCATTTTGTAGCACCTACTATAAAGTTCTAATTTAAAAATGTGCTTGACCAGCCCTAACCGGTTTGGCTCAGTGGATAGAGCGTCGGCCTGCGGACTCAAAGGTCCCAGGTTCGATTCTGGTCAAGGGCATGTGCCTTGGTTGCGGGCGCATCCCCAGTGGGGAGTGTGCAGAAGGCAGCTGATCGGTGTTTCTCTCTCATCGATGTTTCTAAACTCTCTATCCCTCTCCCTTCCTCTCTGTAAAAAATCAATAAAAATATTTTTTTTAAATGTGCTTGACCAATATTACATTTTAAAACTTTTAATAATAATACAGCCCATTACTGTATAAGCTTGTGTCTTAATCAAGTTTGAATATTATAAAACAAATATTATGTTCTTTCAAGTTACATTAAATTGAATTTTGCCTGTTCTGGTTCAAAATTCACCTCATGACGTTGGAGAAGAAAAACCAAGGCTCAAGAATATGAAGGCATGAACCAAAAGTGCCACAGCAGGACAACAGGGTGAATGCCTGGCCGATGAAGAGACAGCCCTCATACATATTCTTAGCATTTGTTCAGGGACTTGGGGAAGTAAGAGATAAAGAGCTTAACAGAGCCTCAAAGTTACATATATGTGATTTCTAAATAAACTCATTGAAACTATAGATAATATTGTTCAAGTGACAGGTTTTGGTAACACTTGCTAGTCATGAGATCCTAAATCAGTGGTTCTCAACCTTCCTAATGCCGTGACCCTTTAATACAGTTCCTCATGTTGTGGTGACCCCCAACCATATAATTGTTTTCGTTGCTACTTCATAACTGTAACTTTGCTACTATTATGAATTATAATGTAAATATCTGATATTCAGGATGTATTTAGGTGACCCCTGTGAAAGGGTTGTTCGACCCCCAAAGGGGTCGTGACCCACAGGTTAAAAACCGCTGCCTTAGTTTCCTCATCTGTAAAGAATGGATAAAAAGGGTACTTATCTCATTAGACTGTGGTAAGGATCAAATGAGATAATGCAAGGGAAGTGTGTTTAATGTTATTGTTACAATCATCACATCATCATCATCATCATCATCATCTTCATTTTAGTACTGTCTGCCTAATAGGCCCACTTGAAACCATTTTAATTTTTTAACTGTAAAGCAAAGATTTAAGTAGAATTTCAAAATGGGTATCAAGATCATTTTTCCGCCGAAACCGGTTTGGCTCAGTGGATAGAGCGTCGGCCTGTGGACTGAAAGGTCCCAGGTTCAATTCCGGTCAAGGGCATGTACCTGGGTTGCGGGCACATCCCCAGTAGGGGGTGTGCAGGAGGCAGCTGATCGATGTTTCTCTCTCATCGATGTTTCTAACTCTCTATCTCTCTCCCTTCCTCTCTGTAAAAATCAATAAAATATATTAAAAAAAAAAAAGATCATTTTTCCAACCAAATGTCTTCAGTGATGCCTCCTAACCCTTTGTTCCACAACAATGGTTTTCTTTTCACTGGCATAAAAGGCATATGGAATCGTAGCTTTGTGGAATTGACCATCAGGCCCGATGGTTGGGAGTGAAAGCATTCCTAGTGCCACTAAGATAGCACCGAAATGACAAAGGCTAGAGGCACACTAAGACA